GTCATTTGGAGTGCCAAAAATTAGTCAGATGACAAAAATAATAGTAATAGTCGTGTTAATAAGTAGTAATAGAGATAATGATATATTAGAAATAACAGTAAAACTGATAATGATAGTCAAAAATAAAATTAATCATCCTAACGATAAAAAGTAGGTAGAACAAGTTTAATTTGAAGGCAACCCATTTAGCTAATTATTTTTTGGAACTGTTTATCTTGGTAAATTGTTTTTTTTTTTGTTTGCTACTATTAATGCTTAAATATATCTAATGAAAACTTTTGTAAATTCTCCATTTTGTGCATAAACAAGAAAGTATTTTGAGCCGAAAACTTTTAGTATATCAGTCTTAGGAAAAATATTTTCCAATTTTATTTATCCATTATATATCAAAAATTATGATCAAAAATATTAATCACAGAAATATTAAATATTTATTTTGAAATTAAGCCCAGAAGTACTTTTGTATTAAGCAAAGTATTAAACTCAAAAATGAGACAACTAAATACTTTTAGATACCTAACATAACATTTAAATCACTTATTATTTTAGAAAATTCAGAGTAATGTGTTGTTTAGATATAATTTAATTCACTCAGAAAGTATGACGTATTTTTCTTTTTCTATTATTTTTGTTCATTTTAATTATAAAAGTGAAAAATGTACTCAAAAATTGAAAGCAGTCGAGACTAATAATATTAGCAGTCTTAATTTATAAATAACAGTAATAATCATTATGACGGCTTTATCGACGATTGCTCACAGTTATGCACTTTATTAAAAGTTAATCCTTAAATATTGTTAAAAATTTTGCTAAGTGACAAGTGGAAATTGAATTCTAAAACGAATCACTCAATTTATCATTTATGTTTTTTGTATAAGCCAAAATTGTACTAAAAAATAATACTGCAGGAATTTAAATTACGTACGTAAATTGTAATGTGTTAAAAAATAATAAATTTCCAAGAAGTGAAATGAAAAAATTTTAAAAATAAGGAAAAGTAATGAAGCAAAGATTTTTGCGAGAGAAGTAATCTTTGAATAAGAATTTTGCAAAGAATAAATAATTCTTTTGCAAAATTCTTGATGACCATTGAAAGTGAAGTGAAAAAAGAGATTTAAATGTTATTTTTGAGAGTATGAACTTAAAGTAAAATCATGCCATTTTATAAGAAATTTATCATGCATGATTTAATTTGAGGAAATTTGA